TTACATTTTTGCTAATTTTGCCAGAAATACAGGATATTGGTGTGAATAAAAACAAGAAAAGGACACAAACTATGATATCTGGATGAAAATGAACCTCAAACGAGAGATTCAAAATATTAAATGGCGTTTTGTCTGAAGCTATACAACACGGATTCCATTCACTTCTAATGAAACGATTACAAAAATCGTCCTTGTTTTTATACAGTCGCTAACAACTGTGAGGTTCACATTCCACAATCAAATTGGAGTTTAGAAGTTGGTTAGTACGGTGGGAGGGAAACCTGAGAACCCAGAGAAACCTCTGCAAGAACAGAACGAACAGTAGCTAGGTCAAGAATGTAAATTTTTGTGCAAGAAGCTAGCAATTCTTCTCCGTCTCGATTTCTGTCCACAAGTCGCACTTCCATCTCGATTCCGCATGAGATAAAAGATATAATTCATTAACCGAGTAAAGCCAGGGAATAATTRAACGATCAAAATAGTACCTTCAGACGGTTTGTTTGGATACAATGCCTTGCCTCAAAAAGGTGGTCGCACAAGTTTTCATCTCCTCAATTCAAGACATACAAGATGGATCGCGAGGACTCAGGTGGATTGAAAGGCTGTCAAGTAGTTAGCCGACTAGATCATCTCGTTTGATTACATGGTGCCTTTCAGTTAGAAAACTTAACACGGCCAAAAATCCATCATTTTGAGATTGTTATTCAACCATCGCAGACAACAACTTATATTTCCTTGTTTAAATGATCAGATTTGCATATCATTCATGCACTGCGTGACAAGTGGAACGTGATAGGACGATAACCAATAGAGATAGGGGGTTCCCCTAAATATGTCAGTATTAATGATATTAGCCCAAGGCTATTTATAAAGAACATAGACCACGATCATGACTTGTTGAATATGATAGCGTGTTATGATATGGTCTTGCTATATTCTGTATATTATATGCCAGAATAACGTAACAGAAAAGCGGTTCTCTCAAACACTAGAAGCTGAGTAAACTCATAAGTTCAGTTAGAAAGTTGTCTCATTGGGGAAAGCATGGTTCTTGTGATATTTAATGAGCGATGAACATTGTCACCTTAGTGCTCTTCGCTCTTTTTATTGTGGTCAAATGTTCTGTATCTCAACCGGCTTACAGGGAAAGGCATACAGGGTGCCTGGGGAGAGGTTAGGGGCCTGGGGAGACCTTTAATCTTGGTCAAAAATGTTGAGAAATTTTTGGTTTTGATGGTGTTTTCATGAAAAGCATGAGAAATTCCCCTTAAGACGACCCCCTCCCCCCCTAAACAATGTTCGGTTTCGAGGGATACAGGGCTGCTTTACCTACTGGGACCAACATTGTCCTGGGGGAGAGGGGGTACGGACAATATTTTTTTTAATAAGGGAAATTCTACTATTTCATGATTAGATGAAAAATTCTCAACTCCTTTTATCCAAGATTGTTGATACTCAGCTTAGTATCCCTGAGCCTGTTCACACTTAGCTAGTCACCTGACCTTTGACCTGTTGTAGTTAGACAACGGATGCTGAGTTGCAAGTCCTTCTTCGCGCCAAAACGAAACAAATCATAGCAACTAATCTACCAATAAGGGATCGGATCACGCCTCTTATAACCGGTATATAAAGAATATGGGGAACACAACACAGCAGGCTTTGGGCTTTTCCATTTTTATCGTACGTACAGTATTAATGCCACTACACCACAGCAGTAAACGCGATGACTGATCCAAACGAAGCTGTTATTGTACCACTGATGAACCTACTGAGAGCCTTGCACGAGTTGTTTAGAATGGTGTACGACATCATACAACTGCTGCTATTGAACCAAGTACAGGAAAGAGACGAGGGTAATGAGAAAGTACCTGAAGAAAATGAAGAAAACATCTAAGATACGGGTAAGGAAAAAATCATTATATACACCCGTCAATAATTCCAGTAAATAATCTTTTATTCAACTGAACCTGCTACAGTTTTCAGTCAGTGCGCAACTTGTGATGAGCTGCTCGCCACAAGATATAAAGTGAAGGGAAATACCATAAAGGCCAGATTAAAGATACAGGCCCCAGTAATGAAAAAATATCAAAATTGTCAGAACGCGTTTTTATATCTAGTAGTGAACTACAACATGTTTCATTAGAAATTTTTTTAATTTCTTGAAAATTTTGGATTTCTTATATAATGGTTTTTTAATATTACACTGACCTTCACTGCAAGGAATTACGAGCCGTGTTTTCTGTGTAAATATAACAAAGGTAAAAGAAATCAAATCTAACCAACCAACTCAGATCACATGGGCGACTGGCATAAACAGTTCCTAGAATATTTCTAGGTGCCCACGGTTTTTCGATTCGCACTGTCATCAGATAATTTTTGAAATATATAAACAAGCCATGATTATTTATTTATTCATTCATTTATCTATTTAATACCATGATCACCTCAGGATCCATTGTTTTTGGAGGGACGTTTAATCACTAACAACCCTCCCTCATGAATAACATGAAGGAAATTTAGAAACTAAATATCCCTCATGTTATTCATGAGAGGTTGTCCCTCATGTAACGTAATCATCGGGACACCGAGTCTAAAATGACCCGGTTCGAAATCTGATGCATTTTTAATGAGGATGTATACCACCCTGCCACAGGCTTTATTCAATGTGGGATAGAGAAATTGGTCTTACAGTCGGATTCTACACGCTAGGACAAACTTTGCGCATGCGTTATAATGGACTAAAATTACCAACTTAATCTAATGTTTTACAATCTAATGTTTTACACAAATTTTTAATTTTCTCGGTGCAAGGGTAGCCTTCACGCATGCGCAAAGCCATTTTGAAACAAAAAGCAAGAAGTTAACGTTTATTCAACCACTTTATTGATTTTTCACACGTCTTATTTAGAACTGATTGTAATAATAATTGTTTAATTTTTCCAATTGAACGTTACTTGTTAATATTAATGTTTATGCTAAAATTGGTTAAATTCGCTCCTTGCATATTAATGCCACCCAATTTAATTGGTGGTATCGATACAAACTCCTTGTTCTCAGGCTCAAAGTCCTTAAATTCATTGTCTCTTGCTTGAGCCCATTGTTTGCATACATTAGTACTCCATGCAGTGTGTCTTTTAGTGTTCTCTGGAACTGTAGTTTCCATGGCGAAAAATTACGTACAGTCAGCGTTTCGGTACCGCGGGCGCGTATTCATTGTTYAATATTGTACTAAGATGGCTGCCAGTACCAATCGAAAAACGATGCCAGGATTCTACAGACGGCTTAATGAGTCTGCAACCTGGTTTTTAGAGMCAGTAAAGGTGATGAAAAGAAACAGGATGACAAGTGGCCCATATTTTGCAGTAGAAAGGTTAATTTCGAAGCGAAACTACAAGGGAAATGTAAGGGGACATTTAATCACTAATATCCCTCATTGCCATGGTATTACTTATAATGATTAATCAATCGATTGTTTTTTTTCAATTTAATTGTATATATTTATTTTGTATGTGTATTCTTATCTTTATTATGGTATACGTATTTTGTAATAGGAGAGCCATTTTTCAGTTATACGTATCATAATTATAGTAGTTAGTTTGCATATCCACATCAGGATTTATGTCTTGCCAATGCTTCCGTGATCTGTTTACTACGAACATTAGGTACTACACTTTTTACTAGTATTCTATTTGAACTTTTGATTTCTTTGCAGACCGAGAACAACCAGCCACTAGATATTATTAGAGCAATAACCAGACGATGTACACAGCATGTATTAAAAGTATATATGGACCTGACATCCATGGGAAGTACACTAGAACTGTAAAAAAGTTGAACGATGCATTAGATGTAACGGTTGGCTTTAATCTTGATATATTTATCCTTCAGGATTTGTATTTTGATATATCGTATTTTTAGTGCAAACCCGTAGTATTTTTACAGTATTGTAATTTTAGAATGTTCAGCGCTTATTTATTTTAATAGCTTTTAATATTTTAATAACGTTAAAACGCTGTGCTTTCGTATGATTGAAATTGTAATTTTTACGATGCTCAAAACAATTGCATATAAATATATCTCTTTTTGTCACATAAGGACACATCGTATTTTAAAAATCAA